CGGTGCTGCCTCGCTAGACAATGATAATCTGTTCCGCTGAAATCGCTGTTTAGCGAAATCATTGTCTAGCAAAAAGCATTTCCCCATTGGAGTGCATTGAAACCTGTTTAATGCGTTCCAATGGGGAAGAATCGTCGTTGTCTAACGAAGATCGGCCATAGGAAAACCGCTTTGCAAACCGCCGATCAGCTGTTTAAATCACTGTCTTGCGAAGCTTAGGTCCCGAAAAAAACTGTTTTGCGAGCACGGAGGAAGCTGTCAAAATCGTCGTCTAGCGAAAATCGGTTTGCGAAGCAGGGACCAAACATCGTCCAGCGAAATTCCCCCGTAGGAATCACTGTTTTGCAAAGCGCAATGGCGGTCGCAAAACCTCGTCGTCCTGCGGATTCGTCGTTTTGCGGGGTCGTCGTCTCGCGAGGTACCACTGTACAGAGATGCGTAACCTTTGCTTAAATATCCAAACTTCCTGCTTCCAGGCAGGCTGCACTGGTGTGGCTGCTCGACACTTCCTTTTTGAAAAGGAAGCTTGGTGGATCTAGGCCTAGACTAGGTCACAGAGTTTAGGCCTTTTTCCCAGGCGAGCCACATGTCGGTTTCTGAAGAGGGCTGTCTGTCAGGTGGGGCTCCCAGAATGGAGAATTCTGCAAATTGTGAAAAAAAAAATTAAAATGGCGCATCTCTACTGGCTGCAACTTGTCCCAAATAAAATTTCGTACACTTTAAGGTGTCACAAGACTCGTCATGTTTTTTTTGGCAACAGGTTAACATGGCAAACTCCTCCCCTGAAAAAAATCCTTACCATCATGATGTTTCTTCTTGAGACTGAGATTTATGTTTGTCTGTCCTTTCCACCCATTAGTTTTAATCTTAATTCGCACGTTTTCCTTTGATCATGCTTCTTTGCTTTGAAGGGCTTCACAGAACTCCATTTTTTTCTCCCCACGCATACATCCTTGTCCTTGGAAGAATTTATTGCTCTGGAGCTAGCCGAAATATTATTGTCAAGTGGGCCACTCCTCACCAACCCAACGCGGTTTGTCCTCACCTCACAATTAAAAAAGGAGGGCTTGTTATCAGCAGGTTGAGATACCGTCGAATGTTTTCACAGGCTCAGCTGTGGAGGCCATTTCTTTATAATGGGAAAGGGGACCTGACATGTCCCCTAAAGATAATGGAGGTGGAAGAGATGTGGAGGAGATGCAGATGGGACTTGAGCCTTTGTTACCCCTGAAGGCTGCACGTCATGTGGGAAGTGGCATGAGGGGAAGAAAAATGGTTTGGGACTGGAAGCGAAAGAGCCTTGGATGAGGGAGGCAAGATAAATGGCTGAGCCAAATAAAGAGAGGTGAGGCCAAGAGCAGCCATTTTGAGCCTCCAAGTGTGAGGCCGAGACAAAGCAAAGCGAGCCATGGAGGAAACATCTCATTAGTCAAAGTTGGAGGGAAAATAAAAGATGATGACAAGCAACTGGCCAACAGTTGGGTTGTTTCCCTGAGGAAGACGGCACAGCCATCCTGTGAAATCTGAAAGCCTTAGCTTCTTTAAGGCTAAGCTCAACATCATTTCCATGGAGAGAGCTGACTTTCTCTCTGCCTTTATTCTTGTGCTTGAGGCAACGTTTCCCTGAGGTAAATCAGGGGGGGTCTTGGCTCAACATCCTGGTGCCGAAGCAATGCTGGAAGATGCTGTCGCTTCAGCCCCTTTTCTGTTGACTTTTTCCTTCACGGAAAAGTTGAAAAAAGAGGGAGAGCGAGCAGAGGTGGGCAAAGTGCACCCTTCCACCACATGTGGTTGGATTGCAACTCCCATCGGCCCCGGCCAACACCGCCAAAGGGTAGGGATGATGGGTTTTGCAATCAAAAGCCATTTGCTCAGCCAGCGGTTACCTAGGCTTTGAGAAAAGCAAGATGGAAAGCCGCCCATAGTTAATTTTTCACAGGATGTGAACCCGCAGTTAAGAAATGTTAAAGCAAGCACCGGGATTGACCTGAGACGTTTTTCTTCTCATGCCTGAGAGGACGAGATAGCATTTCCACATACCATGTTTAGAAGCTAACCAGCTGAGTATTTGATTCTGTATTGGAGCTTGCCACCACACTGGACAAAGGGCTGGTCTCTGGGTACACACAATTTTGATCACCAGTATGTTGAAGATGATTTCCCTGTTTCCCAGAATTATCTTTTGAGGCAGCTTCCTAACTCTGC